TTATCAGAGGTCATTACGTTTTTGAAATGTGACCTTGCGCGAACCGGTAAGGAAAATAGAAGATCAGATCAGACCCCTTGCTCTCTGAAGTGATGAAACTGTCTCAGAAGGTCACTTCTTCAGAAAATGTCCTTTGCAATGTTCCAACTCTCAAGTAGTGATGAGATCCATCAGAACAGAAACAACCAAATATTGAGATCTTCCGAACGTAGTGAGTGAAGCCATTCTAAAACGCTACTTCGCCAAAAACGCTGCTGGTTTTTATTTGAAGTTTGAAGTTTTTAGGACAATTTTGTAGATACTGTGTTTTTGGACCTTGAATGATCGCGCTTTTGCACATCGGAGAGAGTTTCAAGAGAAAACTCAAAGGGACAGGATTTCTTGCAAGCATTGATCTGACCCTATGCTGGAAATGCCTGGCCCATTATCTATTGGAATGGTTGCATGAATTTTCAAGATAACCTGAGCAAATTGATGAAGCTCGGAATGCCCGTCACAAATATGGAGGCCGAAAATGCTAGATGAATCTTTCACAATCAATCATGTGGTTCAAAATGGGACTAAATTCGCTGGAAATGGTTTTCAGGTTGGTGCTCAAAAGTTACTGTGGAACGACCCCGGATGTCACATTCCTTATCAGGACACTATGTAATTTACCGACGACATTTCTGCAGAAATTGAGATTTGAGGGAATGAAAAAGTCGGCAGCAATGGGTCCAGTACTCTGTCATCACTTGGAAACAGCTCAGCGCGCAAAACTGGATTCTCTTTGCTGACAGTTCATAAGCGAATTGATCCTCGTACCTTTTGAGGTTATTCGTGGGATCGCTTGAAGCAACAGTCCCAGCAGGGTTTTTACCTTCAACACTAATGGTGTGGAACGATGCGCTAGCCCTAGTCAAGAACATAAGAAGTGTGACTGAACAAAAAACTCACCTTGGAAAGCCGCTAGAAAGGGAGCTGAACGGCTTCGAAGTGGGCGTGGTTGTCAATCGGCTGCAATCCCCTCGGCCGATTCCAACCACGCCCACTTCGAAGCCGTTCAGCTCCCTTTCTAGCGGCTTTCCAAGGTGAGTTTTTGTTCAGTCACACTTCTTATGTTCTTGACTAGGGCTAGCGCATCGTTCCACACCATTAGTGTCGAAGGTAAAAACCCTGCTGGGACTGTTGCTTTAAGAACTCTATTACCCCAGAGTTATGTAAGATCAACAGTCTGCGACAGTGTAATCCTTTGATTTGCTGTGACTTCTGAAAATTTCCGGATAGTTTGGACAACCATTGGACGGCCCTAACCATATCCGATCCAATGGTTGTCTTCGCACTTGCAACCTGGTTCTGGTTTGACGATCGGGCACGTTCTGGTTTTTGCGTCAGGCACGCTCTGGTTTGGAGGTTAAGTTAATATTTTCGAGTTGAATTAAACAAAAATAAAACCTCGCAATTTAGATCGGGATCCAGTTGCGTTTACGTAAGATCCTTTGTTAGGAACGGGTACCTGCAGAGAACTTTGGTTTTTTGCAAAGTAAAAACTGGACATGGGACATAGGTAGAACCATGCTCGATTTTTTCTGAGCGGCCCTCTCAACGCCAGGAAAGGGAGGGTGATATGTAAGCCGCGCCATGCAAGCGCGCGTCTTTATGTTTTGGTGTGACTCATCCTATGCTTTCAGGGCGTGGCGATGCGACCGAAGGAGCTATCGAGGAGTCGGCCGTCGGAGCGAGCCGAGGACTGCAGCCTAGGCTCTTGAGCTTCTTTCCATCGTCGGGGCGACGCCCTAGCTACCCAGACCAGCTTGTGATACCTTGCTGTGCCTCGTTTGTTATTTGCTGGGCTCTGTCTGTTAATTACCTGCTGCGAATTCTAGACTCCGATTGGGTCCTGTTATTACTTAACATTTTACTTGTTTATTGTTCTTTGATGCCATTAGAATAAATGCCTAGTGAATACAAGGTTCAAGGCAGAAGCATGGGCACCTCCCCTGCGCGCGCGAGCTTACTGATAGGTTCATGGTTCGGAACCCGCAGTGACAAAGCTTTGATTTTCGACTGGCGCTTGCATGATGTCGCAAAATAGTAACCGCGATTAGCAGTCATATTACCACCAAGAGCACCAGTAACCCGCCCGCTTAGGGAAATAAAATGAAATATGTATCGACTGAACGAAGACGCACAGGCGAATCGTGAAGTGGGAGGATCGACGAAAATGAGTATCATACGCATCGACTTACGAACGCTTCGCTCACGCGATTTTCCGCCTGTGCGTTTCTCACAGTCGATACATATCAAACTCTTGACTGAATTTCTCCTATTCTGGACGCTTCGCGCTTATACGTTTCCCAACCCCAATCGATGTTTATCTGAATTCTTGACGAAGATTTTCGTTTTATTTCGTCTCTGCATTTCTTCGCACAAGCGGGCATCTCTGAACAGGGCCTCAGGAAAATGCATGAGCTCCTACATCATGCAAACCGTTTTCAAAAAGCAGGGCACGACCTGAACACCGGGAAGGTATTCAGGTCGTGCCCCGCTTCTCGAGAACGGTTTTCCAGGTCGTGAGCTCTTCCTGGGAAGCGTGCTTCGCATCCTTGGATGCCGTGAATTGCCGAGGTCTGTGTGCAATCTCACGTCACATCGGTCGAGGAAATTCTTACGCCAAAGTGGTTCAGGTTCAAAAGGTTCTATTCGTATGCGAAGTGTTTCAGTCTTAATTCATTCATTTGGAGCCTACACTGTCAGTAAAAAAGTAAGTAGTTAGTGGAAGTGTTGTATTCAGCACAAGGTCCGCACATTGTTACCGATGTTACCGATTAGGTGTTTTGAAATAAAAGTTCCAGTTGCCTAGCCAAGTTTTCAACGTGGTCCGTGCATCTAGAATGGTTTCGACGAATATAACTAGTTTGGCAAGTCCAACGGTAGTTCAAAACTGTGCTTTGGAAATCCCAGCAGTTGTTCGTGGGATGCAAGATCTGGAGAAGGAGGCGTTCAAGTAAGTTTTTTGAATTATTATGGTGACCAAGCTTGACATCTGAGAAAGCATACCACAGTTTGCAGAACAAATATTACATTGGTCGCATTGAAGGTAGATGCATCAAAAGTGTCCACTATACAAGGAAAAGTCAGATTAGAGAAGTACCTATTCAAGAACCTCGGAAGAATCAAGGTTAGTGGCAAGACAGGATCTATTTCCACAAGTGGAGGGGGCATGTGGTGCGATAGTTCGTGCTCCCTACATTTATTCCGGGTCCTCCATAGGGAGATAATTAGTGGGGTGCGTTAACGTGAATTTAGCATTAGCTTTCACAGCAGCCTCGGATCCTTCTTCTTCAAAGTTGGGATTACCGTAAGGCTGGTGTCAGAGTCCGCGATCCGTCGCGCGATTCGCGCGAATCGCAAAAATCGCAAGTGCCCCATTTGAACATTTGAAACACTGAATATGAAACAAGTAGAATCATGAACAGTCGTCATTCAACCATCACCATCAAGCAGAAATGGCGGCGGGATTGGAGAGCACCTCGCAGTATTGATCGGGCACTTGTGATTTCTGTCGCCGTTGCGCGACGGATCGCGGACTCTGACTGTGGACTGACGATTGCTGACCTTCTTCATAAAGAGTAATCCTATGGATGCGAGCGTACTAGTTAATGGAATGGTTAGTTACAGTAGCTTTTCAGAATATTATGAACGCGGATGATTCGAAGTATAAGCTGTTCGTGTTCGATCCTAATGTCGTACAGGAAAACTCATTGGAGTTGAAGTCCCAAATTGAATCTATGATCAAAAGACATACTGGATAGGTGACTACCTTACTTCTCTCTACTAGCGAATTTTTTTTCTTTGAAGTTCTTTCAGACATCACGCTGCAGTGGGAACCTATCACCTTATCAATAACTTTTCAAGACTGGGATCTACGAAGAATGGATTTGAAAGCAGTCCTTCCAAGCGATCTTGAAATCAGGTATGTCCAGTGATTCCTTTTCGTTTTAGGGAGTCTCTTCCCTTTCAGTCTTAATTGCTATTGGCTCATAAGTTATATGTTGATTTTAAGAAGATATTAAGAGTACATGTCTTTGGCTCATACATGTCGTCACACTAGAAGCCGTGAGTATTGAGCAGTTACGTTCCGTATTTTTAGCAGCTTCAGCAATGCCGACCATACTCGAGTTATGTTTAATATTGCGCGAGGAATTTGCTTCATGGTAAACCAGATTTATCGAGTCTCAACATTCTAACTTGAAAAATGTCTCAAAACTCGGTGAGTGTTGTTAGCGTTATTATTGTAACTGGTTGTTTGAGTGGATTTATGTCAAAGATGGGCAAGATTGAAGCCGTGTTCCCCTTCTAATAAGAATGGTCTGACTCAAAAGCTTCAGAGTAAAATGAAGTTTTTGTTCCCCAGAGCTTTCTGGTAACTTCTCGGGAAGCCCTTGTTTAGGTTAAATCTAGATTTGAAATTATGGGGCTCAAGAAACTGTAAATAATTTTAAATGAAAGAATTAAGAATTTTTCACTCAGTGATGGAATCTATTGTAAAGCTATCACGTTGATGCTTCTGTTTCACATCCCTTCTAAGTCGCACTTTGGGAAACGGCCCTTGGCTGGGGTCCTTAGGTATGCGGTGCTTTATTTTTGCTGTTGCGGTTCAATTATCGTTGCCTTCTTTTTTCGTTTCATTAATATTACGTTGAAATCGTATAAAGGAAGGTTCTTCGACCAGTCATTGTTGAGACCACTAAAATGCTGAGAAAGCGCTGTATTGCCAAAAAAGTGTGGATTTCGATGAAGTACTGGGCTTATACAGAAATTCATAATTCAACTCTTGTGGAGTCTGTTAAACTGTCTAAATTACTTGTTAAGGGTGAATTCCTGACGATCTGCTGTTAGAAGTATTTTTTGTATGTAATGAGATACCGCACCTACCTTTTTGCTTTTTCATGTTTCGAAGCTCTCTTCCCACTTTTCCTATCAAGTTTACATTCTATTCAGAACTGTTGTCAACAAAATTGATGGGATCAAGAGCGAGTATCGGAATTTTGAGTTGGATCTTTTAGCAGGCGAAGAAGACTATGTTACGGAAACCCTCGAAGGAGGTGTGAGATATCGACTCGATTTCTCAAAGGTACTGCGCTCTTTGTATATTGAACTCGAACTTATATGAAGTTTCCATTATTTTTGCTGCTGACTCTGTTCATCCTTTTCTTCCATCATCCTGATTGTGGTTTGGAGATCATTCTGTTTTTGAAATTTCCGTAAAGGGCAGAAAATGTAGCATTTTCAATGATGTTGAGTATTTTGGAGGTTTTTTTCAATGAGCTGTTGGCGAGTCTAGCGCATGAATTTTCGTCTAAAATGTTGACTTTTCCAGGTCTTTTGGAATTCTCGTCTCAGCCACGAACATGAAAGGGTAGTGAAGCTGTTTGATTCCCGCTCTTTAGGTATGCGTATTCATTCGTAAATTCATTTTTGTTTATTCGAACAACAAATTCACTCTCGTTGTTAATATTGACGCGGCTTTCACATCTTTGCTTTATTTAGTTTATGACGCTTGCGCTGGAGTGGGTCCATTTGTCTTGCCAGCAATAAAGAAAGGGCGCGCTTTGCACGCGTTAGCGAACGATCTCAATCCGGAGAGTGTGCGATGGCTGAAGGAAAATGCAGTGTTGAACAAGGTATGCTTTTCGAACTAGGACCCTCTTCCATATAGGTGAACCATTCCATGTGTCTTCATTTAAGTTGTCTACCTCCCTACTTATAGCCAGATAAGAACGGCGTTTTTTGTCTTGCAGGTTCCTTCTGCAATGTTACAAGTCCACAACCTAGACGCCGTTGCTTTCATTCGTGGTCCATTTGCGGAAGACTTGAGTCAAGTAAGTTTTCGAATTGAAAATATATTGTATTTTTCACCATTCGTAGT